ATATATTATTCTAAATATACACATTTTTCATAATTTTCCAGGATACTTCATCGGTACGCATTTATACCGTGGAGCAGAACTGGTATCTGCACTATTCATCATAAAAGCGACTTTCCACGTTATTAATCAGTTACTATAATTTTTTTAAGCCTTCTCATAATTATTAGGGTCAGTTATGGAATTATCTCATTAATCTCATATTTAATTAATTAATTTCTTAAATTAACGGTGCGGGTTCTTACACAGATCATCTAGAAAATAAAAAACCAAAAATCTCAAATACATAAGGATATTGCAATGAGAAGAAAATAACAAGAATAATAAACTATGGAACTCAAACTATATAATCCTACAATAGTAGGAGAGCATGAGCTAGTGGATGTCATAGAATAAGAAGTGAGGACAAAATCTATCCCAATACAAAAAGCTCTTATTGTGTTTTAATATCTACAATAAGTGACAAGGTTAAGTGTTTTCTCATTTTTAAAAACAAAAAACAAAAATAGATTAGAAACTAAATCATTTTTTCTACTTGGCCATTAGATTAATTATTTCTAAAAAAAATTATATTAGTAATTATTTTAAAATGATACTTGATACCTTTGCAATTTGGTATTTGACTCTGTTTTGTAAATCTCTAGTTTTGGCTTTTGTCATTTGGCTCTTCAAGATAAAAATGCGATATAAATTCATCAAGTAAATCTACAATTTTCCCTTTGGCATTTGGCTATTTTTTTGTACATTTTATCTCATTGCAATTGTTTTTAAATGACAGAAGATTCATTGTTGCACACATCTTATGCTTGATGTTTCTGTTACCAATCATGTGGAACAACCATTTTATTGTCTCAATCCGTGGTTTATGAGTGTGACAATACATATGTGTATAATGCATGAACATCTACATTCATTTGGTTTTGCATAACTCAAACACAACACACATACACAATCTAAGATTATGAACGAAAATAATTTTGGAGATGTATCTGTATCTACTAATTCTAGAAAATAAATTTCTTCAGAGGAGATAAGAAAGAAAATGTATTATCCTATTATAGTAACATCACAAATTTTGTGTGAAGCTGAAGAAATTTGATATGGTTCAAAACCGTTGCAGAGCTTGGGAAAGAAGATGAAATTAAAAACACTAAAGTGTGTTTTAGGAAGAAGGGTAGAATCGTAATGTTAATTAGAAACTCAACTCTGTTAGTGAGGGACTTGTAGTATGAGTTCGTTTTTTCTGCAGTTACTGCAAATACCTTATCTACAGTAAGCCTAATACGACGTCGTTTTGGGACGGAAATCATGATGTTTTTGTAATTTTAATTTATTTTAGGATTATTATAGTCTCTATAATTATAATTTTATAATCTTCCAATCACAAAATGACGTCGTTTTGGAAATAAATACAGATAACTTATCTGCATTAACTGCAGAAATATTTTTCTGATAAAAAAAGCACAGGGGTTAAGTTATTCAAAGGCAAAACATATGGTGTATTTGAACTTTTTCCTTATTTATTTTATTTTTTTATTTACTATTATTATTTAACTTTTTCTTTTTCTCAATTTCTTCTTGTTATTTATTTGGATTGCTCGATCTGACGAATCTAATTGACCCGCTATTGGCTAGCTAAAGGGTTGCATGGATGTTTGAGACGGCCATGGATAAAGAAAGAAAATGAAATGATTATGCAAATGGCAATGGGCGGAAATGCAAGTAATGATAACCATACGATATAGTGACCAGCGGCGAAACATGAAGGAAAAAGTAAAGCTTGGAATTTATTACCAAAAAAAAGAAAAAAATAAAGCTTGGAATTTGGTTTATGAAACAAAGAATGCAGCGGACTGTGATTCCGAAAGTCGTTTAGGTAATAAAAAACAGAATGATTTGTTTAATAATAAATAATAACAATAATAATAATTTATTACATAAATTTTCCTCTCCGTGATACACGAGGGAGGCGGATTTTACATGTTGCCTCGATATGTTGAAAACATTTAGGGAGTGTTTGGTTGGTGATAAATTTTTTGAATACTAGGAAAATATAATTGATAGGAAAATGGTTGGAAAGTGAGTTTAATAGGAAAATGTAAAAAAAGCTGTTTGGTTTGGCAAAAGTTTACTGGGGAAATTGGGTTAAATTTTCTGAGTGTATGTTTGGTTAAAGATATAATTTTGATGGGAAAATTGTTTGAAATTACAAAACTATCCTTATTTAAAAAACCTGTTATTTTATTACAAAATACGAACCACAATAAATAATGTGCCTCTTTCTTCCGTTGGTGGCTGTCGTCTTTGATTGTTTCCGTCGTTGTCTCCATCTATCCACGTATTAGCATGAAAACAAAATCAGATTCCATGGACTTTGCCCATGATGTCAGTACATAAAGAGATACATCTAAACTCATGAATAGAAACCAGAACAAAAAAATTACACACACTTCAAACGGTGGAGGGACCATAAAATAAAAGTCAGCACATACAAAACCAAAAACAATTATAAGGCTGCATAAGATCAACACTAAACCCAGGAACTGCCCGAAACTTGGGGAAGGAAAATCGAAACCCAGGAACTGCCCGAAAATGGAGGAGGGGTATATTTGTCACCCCATTATCCACCTTTTTCAGATATCGGATTTCCTCACACAATTCCACCCGTTGAAACGTAATCTCCAACAGTGCTAAAATCTGATTTTTACACTTCCTCTTACATTGCTGGGCAAGTGGGATTGATGGCAAAGTTTAACAAAAATCCCCAACCAAACGTTGATAACTCACATTCCCACCATCACTTAGCCAGGAAAGTTTTTCCTTCTCCCCAACCAAACACAACCTTAGAGTGTTCAAAATTGTTCTTGGATGGCGTAGTGTGTGCACGCAATTAGGGATCTTCATCAATCGATCCAAATCGATTCAAATCGCGGTGATTGAACTGAAAAATCGATAACCGAAAGTTGAAAAATCAAAAATAAAAATAAAACTACAAATTTTAATTGGATCAGATCGATTTTTGGATTGGTTGATGAAAACCGATCCAATCCAAATCGATCCAATATATTAATTTCTTTTTCCTATTTGGGCCTTTCCCTAGTCATAGCCCAAAAATTTCTAAATCCAAAACCTATTCACCCATTAACTAAACCCAAGAAAAAACCTAGTCACATCTCATCACCAAAATTTTATCTGTACAGAGCTTCATATCTCATTGCCAAAAAAAAAAACTATATTATAGTGTACTGATGCTTTTATATTTAAAAAAAAGTTACAAAGTCAATATATACAAAAGATGTTATTTGCACAATCATGAAACAAATTTTAGAATTTTCAAAAAACCGAAAACTGATCCAATTCAAACTGAAAAAAATTGGATCGGATCGGATTCGAAAAAAATCCAAACTTAATGGGTGATTACATGATCAAACCGAATAGATTGGATCAGATGATTTTTGCTTCTAAAATCGATTCAATTCAAATCGCGAACACCCCTACATGCAACTGATTTATCTGCATACCCATTCTTCTTTTTATTTTTTAAGTTAGAAATTAAAAAAATTTAAAAAAGAGAGGCTAAAAACTGTTTAGTATATAAATAAGAATTTTAACTTAAAAGTTATTTAAATGCACATATTTTAATAAAATTCTCCCTATCACTATAGCTCTTTATTTTAAAAAGAAACACATAATTTAAAAAAAGTTAATAAGAACTTAAAAAAAAGCTTGTTTTAGAAATTTTTGACTTTTAAATTTTTTCTTCATTATAGAAAAGAGCTTTTTATTATGGACTCATCATTTCTCAAACTGCTTGAGACAATGTTATCTCCGGCTACTAAATCATAACCGTACAAAGTTGGATCAATGATGATAAAGGAAGAGAGAGAAAAAGGAATCATAACCATTCAAAGGTGAATTAATTAATATAAGAAAATAAATAAACAAAACGACGTAGTTTTGGAATGGCCGGAGATAACATTGTCTCAAGCAACTTGAGAAATATTTTTTCCTTTTATTATAAGAATTTTTTTTAAAATCTGTTTTGCTTAATTTTTGCTTATAAATTACTTCTAATTTAAAAAATTAAATTCAAATAGGCACTGAACTCACTACAGGGTAGAAGCAATAGGCACTGAAATAGGAAACAGTATAATGTGGAGAGAGAGTTAATTATAATTGAAATATTGCAACTACAAAGTTAGATAAAACAATAAATGTGTTAGAAACTCTCAATTTCGCAATAAATACGAACACTTCCTTCAATTCAATATGAAAAATGGGTCTGACAGCCACCGAAGTTCACATCATTGTCATCAAGACAGCTAGTTCATTGTAAGGTTGTAGATTGCAAGCTATACATCAAAGTGGGTTATCTCCCATTAATAATGAGGTGGGTTATGTTAGTGGGCCAAGGAGAAATTATGGTGGAAGATCACAACAATGTACTTGATTCTCGCACTTATATATATTTAATTTAATCTATTATCAATTAATATAAACTTGAATACATCAGTATATTATACATATTGATGTATATTTTCACAATTTAATATAAAGTAGCGTATGTGGAACAGAGAGTTTGAGATCCAATAATTTAGTTGGTAAATAATCTAACGAATATCAACCAGCAATAATTAATAAGCTGGAACTACTTAAAATCGTTTTAATACACAGCAAATTTTACGTAGCAGACTATCATGTGATCGGAAAAATTTAATATGTTCTAGACCCACCATTTATTCAGTAATTCTTTTTTATAAATAGAAATTTTTTTTCCATTTCTATCTTTTTTTTTTCCTCCATCCTTTTTTTATTTTTTCATTTTGAGGAGGGATCACCATGGTCCCGGCCCATAAAAAATTTTCTCCATGTGATGACCCAATAATTTAATTATTAATTGACAGTAGTTGCTAAGCTATATATATAAGGATCAACAAGGCTGCATACTCTTCTCATCTCTCATCCTTGTTTGTTACACTTCTTGCTTCTATTACTTGTTTCTTTCTTGTCATGGCACTAACTGGCAAACTTAGTGTTGAAGTTGGGATCCAAGCATCTGCTGCTAAGTTCTTCAAACTCTTCGCAGCGGAACTCCATGATGTTCAAAACCTTGCAGACATAGTTCATGAAACCAAGGTGCATCAAGGAGACTGGCATAGCATTGGCTCTGTTAAGCAGTGGACTTATACCCTAGGTAATTAACTTTCTAATTAAATTATATAGGAGATTATATTTACAACATTTTTTTGCCTTATAACTTCTTACAATTATTTTATTATCATTAGATCAAAATCAAATTAATAGCTCTTATTTGATGTAATTTTGTAACTATTTTTCCTACAATTTCTTATAACTACTTTATTATGATTAGATCAAAATCGAATTAATGACTTTCATTCGATGTCATTTTATATCTATTGATTTAATTTTAATCGGATAATAAGAAAAATAATTATAAAAAAAGAGATGGTAGTATAACCCCTCTCTCTTCAATTGTTATGCAAACGGAAGTAAGTTAACTAATCATTTTTCTACCATTGTGATACAATGTTTTTGTTATTGATCTTAATTGCTTGTGGAAATTAAAACAGACGGTAAGGTAGTATCGTGTAAGGAGAAAGTTGAATCCATTGACGAAGAGAAGAAAACAATTACATACAGCCTCTTCGATGGAGATGTCGCTCAGAAATATAAGACCTTTAAGCTCATCTTTCAAGTGATTGATAAGAATGACGGTCGTGCTGCTGTTAATTGGACTATTGAATATGAGAGGATCAATGAGGATATTCAACCACCATTTAGCTACATTGAGTATTTCTACAAATTTGCTACATCTATTGATGGTAATCTTCCCAAGGCATAGGTTCAAAATGTTATAAGGAAAATAAAAATTTAGAAATAAGTGTTTTTCTTAATATGCAAGGAGAAGTTTGATGTTCAGAGTAAGGGTGTTTTCTTCTTCCGTTGATCCTTGGTTTGTATGGAATAAACTTGGAGATGCATGTTGATGTCTTCAAGAGTGTGTTTCTTAAATTATATGTGAAAAGGTTCATTGTAATAAAGGGATATTCGTACTTCATAGTATTATGATTTTTTTTATGCAGTGCTTTATATTGTTGTTCAGTTGTTTTATGTAACATCCCGTGTATACCTAGATTGTTATCATATTACGATATTAAGCGCAGCTCAATTAAATGCGGAAGCTCACTTTTTCTTTTAAATTATGACGTCATTAATATTAACCAAGTTGATTACTTAATCGATTTTCAAAATACTGCCTGTATGTAAATTGCAATAAGAGCTAACTGAATAACCTCATTAAATAAGTGTGTCTCTAGTCACGGAACTACAACACGTAGAACAGACAAAATTTTGATACATTAAACAACCCAAGTCTAATTAAACATAGTCAAAGTCGATGTGGCATGGACAACCCCTATGCTCACCAAATAAGGCAACAAGGCCCAACAAAGTCTCAGCCCAAATAACAGTATAACGACAATAAAACATAATCAGCATACAAGTATATCAGCATAAATACGCATGCATCAGTCAACTAAGCTCCGGCCTCCTGCCGCCCGAAGTATCAACCCTCGAGGTACCTGAACCTGAAAATGTACCCCAAACGTGGGGTGAAATCTCTAAAAAGAAATCTCAGTAAGACAAGGGGTCCTCAAGGATCTCTCCACCCCAAGCTCACTTACATGTGCAATATAAGTTCTAAAAATAATAAAACAATATAAGTTCCAAAATCTGTGCAATGTAGCATATATCCATATCATGTGTGTCAGAATCCTACTGGCCAGAGAACATGTAGAAATTATGTAACACCCCGTGCAGACCCGATTTGTTATCATATCATCGTATTAAGCGTTGCTTAATAAAAATGCGGAAATAACTTTTTTTTTTCAATTATGACGTCATCATTAATAGCCAAGTTGATTAATCAATCCTTTTAAAAACATTACCTGTATGTAATTGCAAATAAACAGCTATCTACACTGAATAACCTCATAATATAATAAGTGAGTATCTAAATCACGGAACTACAACACGTAGTCCGGACCGCAATCCTGATACAATTATACAACTCAATTCTAAAATAAGACATAGTCAAATCAATGTGGCATGGACAACCCCCATGCTCACCAAATAAGGCAACAAGACCCAACATAGTCTCAAATCATAAAACAATATAAAGGCAATAAATAGAATAATAGCTAGGCATATCAGCACAACATCAAATATCTCAACTCATCTCCGGCCTCCTGCCGCCCAAGGTATCAACCCTCGAGGTACCTGGACCTGAAAATGTACCCCAAACGTGGGGTGAAATATCTAAAAAGAAATCTCATTAAGACAAGGGGTCCTCAAGGATCTCTCCACCCCAAGCTAACTTACATGTGCAATATAAGTTCTAAAAACAATAAAACAATATAAGTTCCAAAATCTGTGCAATGTAGCATATATCCATGTCATGTGTGTCAGAATCCTACTGGCCAGAGAACATGTCGAAATTATGTAACACCCCGTGTAGACCCGTTTTGTTATCATATCATCGTATTAAGAGTTGCTTAATAAAAATGCAGAAATAACTTTTTCTTTTCAATTATGGCTTCATCATTATTAGCCAAGTTGATTAATCAATCCTTTTAAAAACATTACCTATATGTAATTGCAAATAAATAGCTATCTACACTGAATAACCTCATAATATAATAAGTGAGTATCTAAATCACAGAACTACAACACGTAGTCCGGACCGCAATCTTGATACAATTATACAACCCAATTCTAAAATAAGACATAGTCAAATCAATGTGGCATGGATAACCCCCATGCTCACCAAATAAGGCAACCAGGCCCAACATAGTCTCAAATCATAAAACAATATAAAGTCAATAAACAGAATAACAGCTAGGCATATCAGCACAACATCAAATATCTCAACTCAGCTCCGGCCTCCTGCCACCCGAGGTATCAACCCTCGAGGTACCTGAACCTGAAAATGTACCCCAAACGTGGGGTGAAATATCTAAAAAGAAATCTCATTAAGACAAGGGGTCCTCAAGGATCTCTCCACCCCAAACTCACTTACATGTGCAATATAAGTTCTAAAAACAATAAAACAATATAAGTTCCAAAATCTATGCAATGTAGCATATATCCATGTCATGTGTGTCAGAATCCTACTGGCCAGAGAACATGTAGAAATTATGTAACACCCCGTGTAGACCCGATGTGTTATCATATCATCGTATTAAGCGTTGCTTAATAAAAATGCGGAAATAACTTTTTCTTTTCAATTATGGCTTCATCATTACTAGCCAAGTTGATTAATCAATCCTTTTAAAAACATTACCTATATGTAATTGCAAATAAATAGCTATCTACATTGAATAACCTCATAATATAATAAGTGAGTATCTAAATCACGGAACTACAACACGTAGTCCGGACCGCAATCTTGATACAATTATACAACTCAATTCTAAAATAAGACATAGTCAAATCAATATGGCATGGACAACCCCCATGCTCACCAAATAAGGCAACAAGGCCCAACATAGTCTCAAATCATAAAACAATATAAAGGCAATAAACAGAATAACAGCTAGGCATATCAGCACAGCATCAAATATCTCAACTCAGCTCCGGCCTCCTGTCGCCCGAGGTATCTACCCCGGAGTTACCTGAACTTGAAAATGTGTCCCAAACGATGTGCAATATAAGTTCTAAAACAGTAAAACAGTATAAGTTCCAAAATCAGTGCAATGCAGCAGAATAATCATGTCATGTGTGTCAAAATATTCTCCTGGCCACAGAAATACAGGATTTACATACGTCTACTACCTACAATCAGTGCAAGTCACTACTTACACCCACCCACATAATCACCATATTGTATGTCTCTTACATACTCAGGCGTACCGTCTAGGTGGAACAACACATGCATATCATAAGGCACTTGCACATAACAACTCAACAGTATTTCAAATATCCAAACGTGAAAACACATCATGCATATAAATCATTCTGGTGTTCTATCTTCACCTTCTGGCAAATCAAACACTTGGACACGTAACCAACAATATCCTTCTTCATGCCCGGCCACCAGAAATTTCTCCTCAAGTCTTGATACATCTTTGTAGCACCAGGGTAGACAGTAAATTGGCCCTTGTGGGCTTCTGCCATCATCTCTTTAGTTAATGGACCTCGAGGAATCACAATCCTCTTCTGGAATGTCAACAAGCCACCCTCGTTCAAGGACACACCATCTTGGTTCTTCATGTAATCCAGGCACTCTCTTTGCACCTGCGCCTCTTTAATCTTTTCCATGAGTTCATTCTCAATCCTAACGGTCTCCATTTTGAGAAGTGCACCCCCAAACAAAGAGGTCATCTTCAGATCTCAAAACTGCTTAATAATATCATAGTCACCCATTGTCAAACTGGATAGACTCACGGATTTCTGACTCAAAGCATTAGCTACCACATTGGCCTTGCCAGGATGGTACTTCAACTCAAAGTCGTAGTCCTTCAGAAACTCCATCCATCTCCTCTATCTTATGTTCATCTCCTTCTAATCGAACAGATGCTTCAAACTCTTGTGGTCACTGAACACGGCAAACTTCATGCCATAGAGATAATGCCTCCAAATCTTGAAAGCAAAAACAATAGCAGCCAACTCCAAATCATGAGTCAGGTAGTTCTTCTCATGAGGCTTCAACTGTCTCGAAGCATAAGCAATCATTTTCCCCAACTGCATCAACACACAGCCCAGTCCCTTTCTGGAGGCGTCACAATATAGCTCAACCTCCTCAGCAGGATCAGGAAGGACCAACATAGGTGCAGTCGTCAGTCTCTCCTTCAACTCCTGAAAGTATTCCTCACACTCATGAGTCCACACAAACGGAGTCTCTTTCCTGGTAAGGCGAGTCAATGGTAGAACCATCATAGAGAATCCCTTAATGAACCTCCTGTAGTAACCTGCCAAACCCAAGAAGCTCCTCACTTCAGTAACCGTCTTGGGCCTCTCCCAATCTAGCACAGTCTCAATCTTGTTCGGGTCAACTGCAACTCCTTCTGCAGAAATCACTTGCCCAAGGAACTTCACTGACTTGAGTCAAAACTCACATTTCGAAGGCTTAGCATAAAGCTTTTTCTCCTTTAGCACTTGCAACACAATCCTCAAGTGGTCCGCATGTTCCTCCTCCGTCTTGGAGTAAATCAAAATATCATCAATGAAGACGATCACAAACTAATCCAAATATGACTGAAAAATCCAGTTCATGTAATCCATAAATACTGCGGGTGCATTGGAGAGTCCAAACGAGATCACAAAATACTCATAGTGACTGTATCCCGAGCAAAACGCGATCTTGGGGACATCCTCCGGCTTAACCCGAATCTGATGGTATCCGGACCGGAGATCAATCTTCGAGTACACGCAAGCACCCTTAATTTGATCCAATAGATCATCAATATGAGAGAGGGGATACTTGTTCTTGATTGTCACCTTGTTCAGCTGCCTGTAGTCAGTGCACAACCGCATAGTCTCATCTTTCTTCTTCACAAAGATGACCGGTGCTCCCCATGGAGACACGCTCGATCGGATGAAATCATTCGCTGAAAGATCCTCAATATGCTTCTTCAGCTCTACCAACTCTGGTGGAGACATCTGGTATGGAGCTAATGAAATAGGCCCCACACCAGGCAATAAATCGATGGAGAACTCTATCTCCCGCTGTGGCAGAAATTCAGGAATCTCCTCAAAAAACACCTCGAGGAATTCCTTCACCACAGGAATGCCAGTGATATCCTCCTATGTCCCACTCACCAAACCTCTCAACATGACATATCC